AAATATTTTAACCTTTCTGAAATGGATCATGTTGAAATAAATTGAAGCAAGTTGATGAAAACTGTTAATTGACCTGCTTTCAGCTCATTAACAGTCTGTGTTTAACCTATAGGTCATCTCCTCTTTCAGCTGATGTATGGATTTGCTCTTCAATGATGAGCTAAACCACCCAAGTGAGGATGGAGGACTCCTGAACCTCTTTTTTCTTTGGGGAAAGGTCAAGAAAATTCCTAAAACAAAAGCACTGAGCTTTGAAAGGGATTATTCTAACCTCTGTGTATGTCAGGAGAGGTTGCAATAATGCTGACCCTGCAGTAAAATATGGGTTTAAGATAAAAATACAGAGCAAAAAGATGTTTGTTGGTTTTCCCCCCCCTCTACAGGCTCTACAGACATAATGATTGAACTGTTCTAAAAATAATGTGCTGAAATAGTTGTATCTACAGGTATCAACCACTTGCTCTGGTCTTGACTTCATTATTTACCTGTGCAATATCAGTTTGAAGCCCCTTGATGTGCCTGAAGGTTGGGTGGGAGTTGGAGGGACACAGAGGGGAGTGTGGTGGGAGGGAAGAACCTGCTGCATTCACCATGATCCTCAGCAAATACTTCACCCCAACTGGCACTGTCTGCATCAGCACCAGACAAAGCACCTGGAGAAGCTTCTCTGTAGGAGTCAATATATTTGTATTTCTGCTTTTAAAAATATCACTCTAATAATGCTAGAGATTAGTCCAAAGTTGGCGAGAGAGGGAGGCAGGAGATCTATGCTTTTTAATATCAAGCTCTTCTCCACGATGACTTTTATCATGTTAATGGCCAAATCACACTGATTGTAAAAGAGCCAAAATGAGGCAATTAGTAAGGCCTGTGACAGCCCCAGACAGAGCAAGGCACAAGGTTTGCAGTGTGAGCCAGATGGATCTCCTCAATATATTTCTTATTGTCTGCTTGTGGTAATACGTTCAATTAAAGCAAATCAGTACTGCAGGAGAACCTTTGAATTGCCTGCAAAAAATTAATTGTCTGCTGCAAATTTAATGAAGCTTAAATGCTCGTGCTATGCTTACAAGTTTTGGTTGTTATGAGCAGTAAGTGTTTACAAGCAAAAAGAAACTCCTCACTTGCTTCATTCATGCAGCCCTGAGAGCAATCCATCGGTGCTGAGTTCATCAGGGGTGTTTTATTCCATTTACATGTCTCTCTGCCTTGCCCTGGGGTTGTCCTTAGCAGCTGACTTAGTCCTTTTCTCTCCCCAGTAAGAAACCAACAGTTCTTGCTGTGCTGTTCATTCACAGCTGCTCTGAGCTAAGCCTTGCTCAACAGTTTGTCCTGATATCCAACCTAAACCTCTCCTGACACAGCTCCAGCTGCTCCCTCAGGTCCTGTCCCTGCCAAGATGGGCCAGGAAGAGCATCCCATCCCACCAACACTGTTTTTGCAAAGGATAAATGCTAAAGGACTAGAACAACACAGCAAGAATCGCAGGTTTTAAGGCAGCAACGTTTGAAGTCTCTGCAAAGTTACTGGAAAATGGGCCAGAATTTACAGTATTTAATCAATTTTAAGTGCAGTGCAGCAACTCAACATTCACACAGGGGAACAGGCTTGGAATGAAAAATATGCTTTTTTATAGAAAATAATTTGAGTCACTGTGCTGGACAAAATCAAGGCTATCAGTCTAGTCAAGCATGAGGCAAAAATCACCTCCTGACATTATCTTTGTATTCCCTTTCTGCTCAAGTGCCACAGATTCCAACCAACAAAGACTGTCTTGCTTTTACTGCCTTGAGCCCTATCATGACAGTCCAATGAGAGGAGCTAACGGCAGTAGGAAAATGTTAAAGGTGCATCATAATTAAACAGGGAAATAAAGTCATCAGATCTTGTCCTTGTCAGAGATGCAACGACGTGAGTGGAATTGCTGCATTTCCTGATGAGAACAGACACATATAGACACTACCAATACAGACATACAGAGACTCTACCAAGCATCTATAGATATATTCAGCTATTTTTAAATGTAAATCTATCTATTTAGGTACAGATTTAGAGCTCAGGCCACAGCTGAAAGAGAAGCAGATGCTTGAGCAGCAGCCACACACATCTCTGTTGGGTATCCCCATTCACCTCCAACATCCCAAATCCAAAGCTGACCACAAGCTCATCAAGATATTGAAGGTGTCTGCAGGGAAACTGCTGTATGACAAGGACTTTAGCATCCAGTGCAAGAAATGGTGGTGATACCTGCTTTCCTCTCATTGCTTGTTTGGGATGCTTCTCCCATAGCTAATGCTGCCAGGGACACTCCATTTGGGTCCCTCCTGGCACATCAGCACCAGGAGCTTCTCAGAGCTTCTATTCCCACCTCTTGAGGTGAGTTCCCATTTCAGCCTGCTGCTGGATTAGCCAATTGCTCTCACTGCACTAAATACAAAGCAGCCCACACTGTACAGGCTATGCCTGTTTACACTGTTTGTCACTTAATCCCCTGGTACTCACAGTCTCTAATCTCTCTGTGTGTTGGAAGAATTGAACATTTAGCCTCCAGTACAGGAGAAAATGGGTGTGTGTGTGGAAAATTAATATTTATATACTAGATGGAAACACAGAGTGTGTTTTACAGAGCTCTGCAAGTGTTTGGTGTCTGGGATTCCTCCCCAGCCCTACAGACTCAACCCTGCTGCTTTACTGAAAGGTCAAACTCTATATGAAAAGTTTGCAAGATTTCCAGTCTTGGAGGCCAAGAGGCTCTCGTTCAGCACCAGCCAACAGAACAAACCCAAAGCACAACTGCACTGGTTTGGGAGACCACTGGGGCTCACCAGTCCTGACCACAGCACGTTGACACAGAGCCCTGTGGGCACCCACCAGAACGGGATGGTTCAAAGCTGTCTCCTCATGCATAACATGAATATTTATCCATCCCTCTCTGGTTGTTTGCCAGGGAGTTATTTTGAGCTTGGTTCTGGTGTAACAGATATTCCCTCTCCTCCTCCCATCCCTGCCTACACTGTCTCTGACACTGTGGGCATCTCTCCCTGCAAGAGAAAATTAAAACAACATAAGGATAACCTGCAATACTAATGGGAGAACACAGGAAGGTTGGAAAAAAATGTCTTTTGACCTTCACAGCTTTTTGCTCAATGACAGAAGATGAGGTAGATAAGACTATAAGCATATCTTAAGGTCAAAAAGCACATCAGCTGATAAATTAGTCTTTTTGTACGCCACAAAGCTGAGGTAAAATAAGGAATTCAGTCATATTTCTCCCCAAACTCACTGGTGTTTTACTTAGGGCAGAGAAAGTCAAGCATTTCAGTGTATAATACAGTATTTTACACAGTTCATTTGGAGTTCAGAATAGTTTCTGCTCTTTTATACTTTTTATGGGGTAGACTTTGAAATTGCATTTCTCAGTTTGCTGTTAATATCCACATCTTGGGCTTAAGAGTTGATTCTCTGCTTCATGCACATGTGTCACTCCCATTAATGCTAATGGAATCGAGTTAAAACGGAGCACTGAGGGAGAAAAAAAGCACTTGCTAATCCTTTATAACCTCACTGCAAAGAGAAGTGATTTGTAAACCACATGAACCCAGAGATCAGGTACAATAGCTGCTGTGTATTGTGCTGGGAGTGAAGGGCCATTCCCTGGGCACTGGGAAGAAGAAAGGATAAGCCCTGAACTGTGGAAGATGGCTCTTCATAACAGAAACAAATCACCCTGGTCTCAGTGCTTGGCTTTTTACAGTGGGACAAGTGGTCACAGAGTGGTTTGGGTTGGAAGGACTTTACAGCTCATCCCATCCCACCCTGCCCTGGGCAGGGACACCTCCCACCAGCCCAGGCTGCTCCAGCCCCATCCAACCTGGCCTGGAACACTCCAGGGATGGAGCAGCCACAGCTGCTCTGGGCACCCTGTGCCAGAGCCTCAGCACCTCACACACCACACTGGATGGACAGGTGAAGGTGGATAACATCCAAATTCGCCCATCTGGACAGTCTCAGCCCTCAGCAGCCATCCCTCTGCTGCAGCAAGGCAAGAAGCTGCTTGCTTCCATCTGACACAGACATCATTTAGCACAGCTGTTTCAACATCTCTGAGCTGCAGACCCTGAGTCACCCTCTCAGTGTCTTGCAGCTCTTGGAAAACCAGGATACAAGGTCTCTGTGTTTGTTCCCTGAGCAGCAATTCCCCTGCTGATTGCCACAGGTACCTCCTTAGGACAACACAGCTAGGAAAAGGCACAGTCAGCTCATACACAGACTAAACACTGGTCTTCACTTGCCTCTGGTTTTGCTTCCAGTGGCCAACATGGGCATGGGCAAATGCCAGACAAGGTACTCAAACCAACCCCAAACCCAAAGAACTGTTGGGTTCCATATCTCCCCTGTAGGGCTCACAGAATCCCAGACTGGCTGGGGCTGGAAGGGACATCTGGATGTGTTCTGACTGTAAAAACCATGGATTAAAACTTGCATTGAATCAGTTTTAAGTATTCTCTCTATAGCACAGAAATAATTGACAGGGAGAACCTCTAACTGAACACGATCCATCACTGCCAATATGTGGGAGAATTAAAGCTGACAGCATTAGGGCTCTGTGATTGATTTATCTCTTTGTAATCAATCTTTCCTGATTTGTTCTCCAATATAGGCTCTTCCACAAATAAGAAGGAGATAGAGAGTGATTGTAGTGTAATAACCTATATGTTCATTGCCTATAATAATTCATCAGGCATTGGACTACTCATAAGCAGGCCAAAAATTCATCCGAGGCATTTGTCAGTGTCTCTCTTTGTTTATCAAGTTACTCCTTTAAATGTCTTTGTCAAACTCCACAGCTTTTACTTTAGAAAACCATATTTGACGGAGGAATTCTGAATGCACATGGCCAAACATTGGAAGCCTTGTGGTGCAGACATTCAGGCCTGGATGAGAAATGCTGGGCACAGGCTGAGCCCGTGCAGCAGCCACACCACAGGAGCTGCAGTTACCTTTCACCACCAAGCTGCCCGTGCTGCTCGCAGTCCCAAAGTGGTTGGTGGCCACACAGGTGTAGCTTCCTGCGTCAGACTTGGTGACATTGACAATCCTGAGGCTCCCGTCGTCCAGGACAGTGATTCTGCAAAGACAGCAGGCACAAAACTTTCACCTCCTTTCAAACCAACACAAAACTCTTCTGAGCCTGCCTGAATTACAGATGGCTGGAGCAGCACAGGCCATGGCCCTGCTGCAGAGGGAGCTCAGCTGACAGGAATCTCTCAGGACACAGCTCATCCATACTGAATGCATCATTTACATGAGTTTTTCTGTGCCTTTTCTTGAGGGCAACTTTTAATTTACACATCAGCAGCTTGTGTAGATTTTCCAGGCGTCTGCAGTGTGATGCTCAGCCCTCACCATGACAACCCTGACACGTGCTCCATCCCAACCCTCACAATGCCAAACTTGTGTGGAGCAGATGCAATGAGGCAGGTGTTGCAGTGCTGATTTTTCTGCACAAGGCTGATGGCTTTTCAGTCAGGGTACCACACTGCCAAGCTTGCTCTCCTCCTCTCTGCCCGTGTCTAACTCAGCCCACGAGGCTTATCAGCACTGGCACTTGCAGGTTAAGAAAGGATTAGCTGGTTTCCTTCCCATCCTCTCCTCACCTCCGTGTTCCCTGGCTGAGCAGTGTTTTTGGCTGCAGTGCTACATGTCTGTGGGAGGGCAGGAGGCAGGTGAGGATGGTGTGTTGATTCCTGGCATGATCCCCAGCCCCTCCTCTTGCACAGCACTTCAGGCTCTCCTTGTTCTCCCAATGAGCTTTGTCTCCTGTCCCATTTTTTTCTGCTCTGCTCTAAGTCAGTGAACACAGCAAACCTGATTCTGCCCAGTAAATCCTATCAAAACATCAATGACTTGTGCCCTGTGGAGGCATCATCTAAGGAGACTCCAGAAAAACCTTCCTCCCAGCCTAATATCCTGACTTGTGCCCTGTGGAGGCATCATCTAAAGAGACTCCAGAAAAACCTTCCTCCCAACCTAATATCCTACAGCAAAATCCTTATGTCTGCTCAGTATCATGTCCTGCAGCACAACCTGCTTTCTCCCCTTCAGCCACACTCAGACCTGCCTGGAAAATCTTGGATTAATTCCTGCCTTCTCCTGCTCAATTATTTCCAAATTTAACTAATCTAGTCCAACTCCTGGTCCTGCACAGGACATCCCAGAGAATCCCATCCTGTGCCTGGGAGCATGGTGTGTTATCAGGGATGTCCTGTGCAGGACCAGGAGTTGGACTAGTTGGAACCACTGGCCCAGGGTGCCCAGGGAGGCTGTGGCTGCCCCAACCCTGGCAGTGTTCACAGCCAGGTTGGATGAGCCTTGAGCAACCTGCTCTGCTGGGAGGTGTCCCTGCCCAGGGCAGGGGCTGGGGCTGGATCATCTCTGAGCTCCATTCCAACCCCTAGAACTCCATGATAGTTGGACTAGGAGCTGCAGAGTCCTGAGGCAGCTGAACAAAGGATCAGTGTGAGCCAAGGCACAAACACAGCACCTTGGTGGGGCTCCCCAGGCTCCTGCCACCTGCAGCCACAGGGCTGGGCATGTTCTCCAGTGAGACTCCAGAGACATCACCTCACCCAGGGGAGCCAGTGCAGGTGCCTTTGGTCATGCCATACACCCTGTGTGGGCACACACAGGTTACCCCATCCACATGCACACACCTGCTGTGAAAACCAGGACACTCTGAGTGTCTTTACGCAGTCAGGAGAAGGAGGATGGTGCAGGATGCTCTGACAACAGCCACCAGTCTCCATCCTGGCTAGCCTCTCCCTGACCTGCTCTTGCAGCAGCCCAGCACCTCCCAGGCCAGCTGGCAGGGACAGAGGTTGTATTTCACACATCAGTAGCAGTGATATTAATAGAAGCTTCTCAGCTGCCTTATAGGTCTCCAAATTGTTGCAGTCAGTAGCATTCAGTACTGTAATTCATTTCTGCAGGAGCCCAGTGCCATGTATTTGCTTCTGTGGCAGTTGCTCCAGCTCAATAATTGCAAGAGAGCAGTATATAGCTGCTTGTCTCTTATCTCCACCACTGTGCTGGCACAAATCAATGCATGCATTGCATTCAGCGTGTGCTGGAGCACAGGACTTGCCACGTTGGCCTCCAGCACAGAAGCCTGGGCAGCAGCAGCACCAGCAGCTGCCCAGGAATTATTTGCTGCTGTTATCAATTTCAGGTCCTAGGAAACCATGGGGCCTTGCTGAAAGCTGAAGGTGCCCTTGGCATGCATTAAAATTCCAATCAATGTAAGTGACAGGACAAGCTCAGCAATATGCTCCAGCTCAAGGAGGACCACACTGCTCCAGCACGGGGCTCTGCACTCCCTCCCTCCCTCCACACTTTTGCTGCCCAAAGAAATCCAGGGAAAAGTGAAATTTGGGATGATTTCTGTACAGTTGAGGTTTTATTTTTGGTTATTTGTGTTTTATTTTCAGCCATATGGCTGAAACCTATTTACTGGATAATCTCTTCCACAGATCATTTTAATTGTGGCTGTGCTGGAGCCAGATTTCATTTCAAATTCTAATGCCTTTTTTGTCTCTCTTTCTCCTGCTATTGCTTTCCTTCTGAGCTGTCTTTATTCACAGTGTAAAACTGGTTTTCAGCTGATGTGCACTGGATTGCCCTGGAGACAACTTTGGGTGAGGACAGTCAATCCACCTCCACCTGTGGCACATCTCAGGAGCTTGTGCTCTCTTTGTTCCCTTCCCTTTCCAAGCTGAAGTCATGGTCACTGCTTTACAACCTGAGCCCACAGATATCCCTTAACCTCAGCAAAGTGCTGCAAAGAGCTCAGGGGAGACTCCCCCTGAGGTCTCCAAACCCTTTCCCCAGAGAGTCTCCAGGCAAGTTCAACTCTCATCTGGTATCTAAGTAATTCCTTTAACAATTAGGATTAAAACTGACAAAGCATTGTACAAGTTAACTGTTTTTTCCTCATAAATCAGACCACTGAAAGCTCTCTGGGACTCGTTGGTTAGGTAGCCTTATGGTTATGTGGCTCTTTTTGCTGCAGGTGCTTTCCTACAGTGAATGTTTTGTCCTCTCATTTGTATCCAATGTGTTGGACATTAACAAATAATTGTCTGAACACTTTGAAATTGGTTACAGAGAGCTGAGAAAGTAGGAAAGACTGATATTGCTTATTCCCAGATTTTCCTTGCAGACATCTCTGCGTTAAATGAGAGGCTCATTTCAGGCCACTGAGGTTCTCACATTGCTAACTGGTCTGGAAGCAAGCAGCCCTTTGGGCAGCACTCTGAGCAGTTTGAGGGGAAAAGCTCTTTAAAGGCACAAAGTTCAAAGGGAACGAAGACTGCTCAGTGTGCTCCTCTGCTGAAATACTCCCTCCATGTGTTTCCCCTCCAGGAGCCTGGGAAGGCATCAAACCAAACCACATTTCCCATAAACTGGGAAGGCATCAAACCAAACCACATTTTCCATAAACACACCTGACTTTAGTGCTGGTCACTGAATACACACCTCTTACACCACTACAACCTCAGCAAAGGAGCTACTGAAGCTGTTGAGTGTTCAGGGTTCCCTGGCACTGCTAACATCTCTTCTTGCACAGATTAATACAACTACTCCACTGACAACCAGGCCCATAGCTACTGCTAATATCAGAGGAACTTCAAAGATAAAAATAGCCATTTGAAGGAAAAAAATAGGGTATAAGACAGTCTAGTATCCTTAGAGAAAGAAAGGTCATCTATTTTAAACATAGCCTTTGTAGGAGAGAATCTGTTGGTCTGTGTTGTCAACTGGAGATTTCAGGTCCACAGAGAGCAGAGACATGTCTGAAATTGGGAGATAAAAGGATTGCTTGTTTCCTAAACTGAAGCCTTGGGTTCTACCCCAGGAAGAGCTGACCTTGTCAGTGTTCTGATCAAAACTCTTCTGGGGACAAAGGACCTTTAAAAATGCTGAAAATGTTCCTCCCTAGCCTTCCTTGCCTGTTTTTATTTTGCCACTGCAGCAGCAAATGAAGAAGTTGCAAGCTGAACACTTTGCATGCCCCTAAAGAAGTGTTTTCCACAGCCACAGGCAAACAGCTTCCAGAGCAGCTCCTTGTGACAAGGGCAGGGAGTGCCAGGACAGGGAATGGCTTCCCACTGCCAGAGGGCAGGGCTGGGTGGGATTTTAGGAGGAAATTGTTCCCTGTGAGGTGCTGAGGCTCTGGCACAGGGTGCCCAGAGCAGCTGTGGCTGCTCCATCCCTGGAGTGTTCCAGGCCAGGTTGGATGGGGCTGGAGCAGCCTGGGCTGGTGGGAGGTGTCCCTGCCTATGGAAGGAGGTGGAACAGGATGAGCTTTAAGGTCCTTCCAACCCAAACCATTCTGGGAGTCTCTGATGTTCCAAGCCCCATGACTGTGTGTGCTCTCTGCCACCTCGGCAGGAAGGGGAGGAACTTGTTTAAAGCATTTGTCTGTTTGGTGGGGGTGAACCTTGCAAAGTGCACGAAGGACAAAGACACATCTTTATGGATGACAAACAGCTAAGTGTGTGCTACAACTACCCAGAGCTCTGCTGTCCAGAGACAGCCAAGCTGCCCAGCCAGGACCCACCTTGCCATCACAGCCCTCTGCTTCCACAGCAGTACTAACCTGCCTGGTGTCTCCAGCTGGAGATGGATGGAAGAGGTCAGGCAGACTGGAGCAGGATAAGGAAAAATGGTAGTTCATAATCACTTTAGTCTGATCTATTAGTGCTTATTTTCCAGCTCCTGATGCATCTGCCGTGTCTGTAAGTCACCCACCAGCAGCAGTGTTAGCTCCAACCCGAACTGAGCTCGACAGGTCTGATTCATGGAGCTCAGCACAGCCTTCCCCACTGCTGGGCAGGATTCCCAGGAGCAGATAAATATTCCTCAGTCAGTAACATATGCATTAAGAGATAGAATATATCCTGTCGAGATCAGTGAGAGTTTTATCACCGACTTTGTGAAAAGGAGATCAAGTCTGGACGTGGAATATAAAGGATGACTGAAAACTGCCAAACTCCCTGAGCACGTCATAAAACTGAGTATCTGTTCTTGCCTGCAGCCCAGCTCCAGGGAAATCTGACCTCTGGGTGT